CTTCCTAGCCGAACCTTTGGAGCCAGTCTTTCGTGACGTTTGCGGTGTGTGGCGTTGTGTTGCCGTGCTGCAAGATGACCCAGCTGGTCTTTTTCGCCCCAACCCATCAAGCAGAGACCTTTCAATAGTGCAGCTCATCAAACTCTATCCTATAGACAGTCGACTTTGAAATGTTTAGCGACTCGCAAATTTCGCGAATTTTTAGGCGCCTGTGTGTTTGAATAAGTTTGTTAATGCGACTTTTGTGGTCCTCAGTCTTGGCAGAAAAACAAGGTCCTGGGTAGACTTTGTCATTGATATATCGGAGTGCCCGGCTTTGAACTTACTACATCACTCATATACCTGTGACTTTGCCATTACTTTCTCCCCATAAACTGACTTTATTTCAGTGTGTATTTCTAGAGGTTTGAGACCTTTTGCGGTCAGAAACCGAATGACAGACCTCACTTCTACCCTTGACCAATTTTCCAAGGGGGTAGACATCTTTTGAGAACTGCTGTGCTCGTTTGGTTTGTGTGATGCACATGGTGCTGAATAGGGAAATTTCTAAATGATTGTTTTACAAGTGTGCGTTTACAGAATGTGAAAATATTGAATAGTTTTCAAATTACAGCCAAATTCCGGTTTTCCGTGGGACAGCCCTCGTATTACTATTTTTTTTAAAACAAAAAAACTTCTGGCCCAGAGTCTAACATGAAGTTAGAGTAGTTTACGATTCAAACACAACATGGTCAAGTCTACAACAAAATCTTTAAAAGAAACGTCACTCATCATAGTGAGATAACTAAAAAAGAAATTATGCAAGCATCTTGATGTTCCAACCTTCAGTTTCATTTAAAAAATTTGTCAAAAGGCAAGGCGGACCTAGCAATATTTCAAGTCTTGAAATGTGCCAATGGTGACTTTGATGCTACAAATTGAAAAAGAAAGAGAGTTCAACACCATCTATCACAGAGTTTCCATAGTCTTCTGAACTGGCCGGATAATCCGGTTTTGGCCCAAACAATGACTTCTAACTCAGTCTATTACACATAAGGTTACTGAACACACAGTGCTACAAATAAAACCGAGAAAGAGAGAGAGAGAAAGAGAGAAAGAGAGGGAGAGAGAGAGATATAGAGAGAGAGAGCAGGGGCGGCTCGTGGCGCTAAAAAGTAGACGTGCACATTTAAGCTATCGCATGCTGAAGATAGTCAAGGGCATGGTAAATGAGACGGTGTATAATTTTAGGATCTTTGAGTTGGTAAGGGAGGACCTCGTGCTTTTTATTTATTTTCATTCTTTTTACTTGTCGCATAGATGTCTAGTACTAAATTTGTTTGTTAGCAAAACATCAATTTCGTTCATCCTGTATTGGAACTGAATACTCAAGTGACAACTTTCACCACTCCACTACAAAACTATTCAAAGGCACAACTCTTAGAACGGTCACGTTACCCTCCCTCAGGTTAACGGTCACAGAGTCACTTAAAATAGTGGCAAGACAGGAAATGAACCAATCACAATTCACTTGAGCACCACGCTGGATTGCTACGGGACTCACATAATATTGGCAAACAATAGCGTACAGTCTATCGCGTTTATTTTTAGACAGCCTACTGCTGGCTGTTTCAGCACTATTCGGCCGCAGCACATTTGAGATGTGCCGTCTTATTAATATTAATGTACTGCAAAACTCGCTACGGGTGTTGTCATCGCTTGGGATATCCCCAAGAGCGATTTATAGGTCAGGTTACAGTGTTGGATATCCTATTATGTTTAGCTAAACCGCGTGGATTTTGGCATGGCATAGTAGATGTTTTACTGCGCTATAGACACAGAAATGACAGTTATGGCGCTAGTGAGGACCTTGTTTGTTTTGATATAATATTTGGCTTGTGTTGGTTTCTGGCTGAATAGTGGATGGAAGCTTTATCAGTTTCTTGATAAACCTCTCCTAGGATTGTTGACACCTTTTTTTAGGTCTTATATTCCGATCAATATTAGGTTGATCTAGATCAAGATTAGATCTAACAACTGTTTCTGACATAGTTCGCACATTTAAGTAGACTAGACGCAACTAGTCTCATAAATAATCATAATCATTTCAGTTTGAGTTTGAGCAAGTAAGTCGAAAGACGCTTGGATAACAATACCAAGACGGTGCAACTTGGTAAGCAGTATTTTCTGTCCGCAGTGTCGTCGTACAATAGATCTACCTAAAAATATTATCTTTAAGTTAGCCCTAGAGAACGTACAAGCTGTCTACGTTCTCTAAGTCTAATGTTCAGTGCTTTCAAGCGTGGCATCCAATCCCGGTTCCGGAAGGTTGTTGTTTTTTTTATTCTAAAAAAAAAATAATTAACTCACAAACCAAGAAAGCCACTAGATAGACTAGATCTAGAGTAATCATACCGGTTCGGGCAGCACGTTTTTTTTTAGCTGTCGGGCACTGGAGTACAAAAAGATTGTTTAAAATTTTGTTTTTAAATCTAGCCCCAAAAGAGTGGCACACAAACCTAAAGCAACCTCCCTTACTTTCATTGAAACAACAGTTACGGCGATATTTTGCTAAAAATAGTCCTTAAGACAGCTTTTTCTTTATCAACTGAGCAAAACAGCGTGAAGCTCTTTCCCCGGAAGAGTTAACATTGGTTGTGGATGAAGGAGCCTGTGGCCTAGATTCTACGTTTTGGTAAACTCTGAAGGCTGGAGAGTTATTTGCATATGAGGCCCTGTCAAGGATGAAAGAGAATTTGCAGTTCAGTCTCGCCGTTTTTGCCTAAAGGGGGGGTGCCCGGATTGTAACATAAAATCCGTAGTTTCTCATCCTTCGGGCACGTAAGATAATATAGAGCCGATGGTTATATAACAAAGAATAAAGAATTTGTGCATTATTTAAATAATAGTAGAGTCAGATACAGCATATTAACTCAATCAGACACCAGTGTAATAGAGTCAGATACCAGTGTGTAATACAGTCGGATATCAGTGTAAACAGAGTCAGATACCTGTGTAGTTGAGTGAGCCAGATGTCAGTGTAGTAGAGTCAGTATACCACATAGTAGAGTGGGTCTGATACATACTCATTAAAATAGCTATAAATGGTGAATTTCATACCACTTTAGACAAACTATCATTGTGTCCAAGTGTTGATAACAAACATTAAAAATCCTGTTATTAAGCTTACAAAGAAACAAATGTGATAATAATTGAAAATGACCGAATGTCAAAATACTGCCCGAATCCATGAGAAACCCCCAAAAATGTGACTGAACACGTAAATAAATCGGGCGTCACTTTTGCACCCTGTAAGGGCCTCAAATATGAGAACAAGCTGAAACAGGTCATTCTTGGGGTCATCCAGTCACAGGGCTTCCTGTAGCTGGTTTCGATTTGTCTCTAGGGCAAGGCAGATAGGAGATTATAAAGCTTTAAAGTCAACGTGCATGTTTTCGTCCTAATTTTGACCGAATCGGTAATTTTACTCTAGATCTAAATCTAGATCTAGATAGATCTATTGAACTTTAACCAGGCCTAAAATCCATAAATTGAAGGAAAAGTATAGGCTATAAATACTAAATGAGGCCTTTCTTGTACACAGAGGTCCTCTTAGGTGGACAAAACCAGAATGAGAGAATGTGTGCATGCATGCTTCATCACTTCATAAAAAACTACAAAGCAACAAGTTATAATTACGGGAAGAATTTGTTGGTCAGTCGATAAAAGGACAACAGCAACAACAACAACAACAAAAATCTTCCAGGCAGGACCGGGATTCGAACCCACATTATAAAATAAAGGTTTGGCTTCAAGCGCAGACGCGCTGTCCATTCGGCCACATAACTTCCGACAACGAAGCGGAGATCTAGATTAAGCTTTACAATTTTACACACGGCAACACAGTGTTTTATTTAGCACTGGCACTAATCGCAACCCGGCATTTTATAAATTTAGCACTGGCGCAACGGCTAATCGTAACGCGACGTTGCAAGGAAGTGGCTATTCTCATCCGGGGTGAGAATAGAAATACGATCGACCTCTCACCCTGGGTGAGACTTGCGACCGTAGGCTATTCTCACCCGGTTTGAAACAAGACCTGTTTTTCCTAATTTCGGAATACTTTCTATCGATGTGGATGATCAAATTGATAAAAGCCAAGAAAAAATTACGTTATAGAGAACAAAAGTAAGCTAATTTGATGTCTTCAAAGATGCTATGGCTATTTCACTGTTCGAATCGATCCGTACTACGCGGGTCGCCATTTTGTTTTGCCCGGAAGTTCTCGCAAGATCTACTCTTCCCCTCTCTCTCTGTCTTTTTCTGAATACTGTCTATCGGTGTGGACGATCAAATTGACCAAAACAAAGTTAAAAAATGATGTTAAAACAAAAAAGTAAATTAATTTGGGTATCTAGACAAAGATGCTACGGCTATTTAACTTTTCGAAACGAGCCGAACTACGCGGGTCGCCATTTTGTTTTGACCGGAAGTTCTCGCGCTACTCCTCTCTCTCTCTCTTTCTCTCTCTCTCTCTCTCCACCGCCCACAGACAAAATTGTTGTACGCTTTTAGTAGGCTACAGTTGTAAATTGTAATGGAACGTTTGTTCACGGCACAGAATTTTACAATTTTTCTGTTATCACAGTGTAGAATTCTGTGGTTTAGGGTGAACGCAAAATTTGTTGGCCTAGATCTAGGCTATAACGGTGAACGCGCACCGGGTGAGAATAGCCAAAAGACTCACCTGCACTATTCTCACCCCGGGTGAGAATAGAGGTGGCCGCGTTGCAAATAGGCACCTCCATAAAATAGAAGTCAGTGCCCATCAACGTTGTGTGAGCAACATTCAGGGGTGAGAGAATATATGTGAGTGTCATTTGGACCAAGAGAGTGAGTGTCAAGTGTCAAGACAGTCGAGTGAATGTGTGGACTATAACAACAACGGCAACGGGCTTCTAAGTAAAATGGAGATAGACTAGAATCTAGATATCTAGATCTACCACTATTTAACCATTTACCTAATTATGACTTAATGGGTTCCTTGGACCTGTTAACTTTTTATTGCCCAAAATCCTGCCTGAAGTATTCAAGTGACGATTCTGTCAATGATGCCTGCAGGTCTAGTCTATGAACTCTTCCAATGTTCCAGTCCACCGACCGCTCCGTCTATTTACCCGGAAGTTTCAGTTCTCACAGTGTCATTCTCACAACAGAGCTGAGAAATTTTTTAAAGTCTCAACACCGACAATTCTACTGTTGGCCAAGGCTGAAACAGCAAATTACTTACACCGCAATCAATACATGATGAATATAGCTGTCGTATAATAAATCGATACGACTAGGTAATGTAAGACCCACAATGCAAAAAAGAAGCGCAAAAGGTTCCAAATACATGTACATAATTAAGTTATACAACACTTTTCTCTCTCGTTAAGCAGCTTAACTTAACCCAGTAAGAGTTTACCAAAATAAATCCGATTTCCTCGACCCAGTATCATCTATTTTGTATCTGAAGCTTATTGCACAAGTATTACATTATTTCTGTTTATGCGTATCTTGATCTTGAATGAAACCAGAGAATATTTAATTATATTTAAGAGTCTCTGATGAAACTGAAACGGGGGAGGGGGGGAGGTTGTGCGAGAAAGCTGAAACGGGGGTTTGATTAGGCAGAGGGGTTTATAGCTCATTTTGTTGGTGTTCATGTGTGTGATGGTGAAGGGGGATTTAAAGGAATCACTATGGTTTGAGTTGTAATTTGTAATAAATCATTACCAGGCCAGACTTCTTATGTGCACCGTGAAGTTTAGTAAAGCACCCGTTAGCAGTACGTTAAACGGATCATCTATCAATTATTTTCGTATCAATAGCTGACTTGCACATTTTCTGATTATTTACAATATTATTATGTCAGTGAATGTATATCTAGTATCTTTATAAGTTTTAATTGACAGATTATATGGTAGGGTTGATATTGTCAAAAGAATTAATTGATAAGCTCGTTTCGTAATCGTCTAGCTTTAAATGTTCAAAAGGCTTCATGGTGTCATAGCAACAATGAGCGTGACCTCGATACCCCTATTATGTTACGCTTCCAGCCGAAGCTATCCACGAGGCTACGATAAGAATCTGTTCACGGAACTGGAATTATCAGTCTCGTTGTTTGGCAGGTAGGTGGGGCACCTTTTTGTGTTTGCACTTCTTTATGTCTCTTGGATCTTTGACATTTCTGAAAATTCAGCCCAGGTAGCCAACCCAATTTTGAGTGTGGCTGTGCTGTGACTGTGACTGTTGTACTGTGTTTTTGTACCAGCAGACTGATGTTATGCTCTTTTAAGCAAGTTAGAATCTAATAAGAGAAGTTCAGCTAAGGCAGACGAAGAATAGCTTTTCTTTGTTGTATAGAACAAAGACACTGCATTTCATTTGTAGTCTTGGAGTGAGGTGTACATTATGTTATGGGCCTACTTAACTTGAATGACATGTAAATGACTGCCTATAAAAGTGATTCGAAGAAAAGGCTAATTAAAGTTGAAGAATTGGCTGAAAACTGGAATTTAAACTGTTTATTTAAAAAATAAAAATAATAAATTACTCTATGTTCTACCTGTTTAATCGTTTACCTTATTTACCCCAACTATTTCCTATATATTCAGCTCACACATATACATTATACATGATATATATATACACCCTGCCAACCCCAGCCTCACTACACTTTCATACTATATATATTAATATATATCAGGCTGTGTATTAGTAATTGCTATCTTGATTCTACTTGTTGTTGGTTTGAAATGCAACACTATATTATGTTTTGGACAGAGAATCTAATTAAAATTTCAGTGGTCATATATAGGCCTATAGTCTATAAGAAATGGATTAACCAATGATATAAATATAATACATTTCTCAAATCTTATAAATTAATGATCCCATACTTTCATTTTCTGAAGAAGTTTGTAAAAATCTTTGGAAATTCACTAATATATATGTCCTGTTGTGATTGTAATTAAGTAGTGGAAGTTTAAGGCCAATATCGGATATCGTGCGGAAACTTAATGAAGTCTCACAAAACTTTTGCATATATTGCTTTTAGTTGCTATTAGTTTGTTGGTTTTTTAAAAATATATTGATTAACATTTATTTATATAGTTTTCCTAAGCGTATTTTAATTGAAGGATAATATATTTTAAGACTTTCAAGTCAAACTGATATATGAGGCTTAATTATGTCTTCTTCTTCCCTTTGTCAAATTATTCTGTTCAATCTGTTTTCAGATAATATCCTGCACAAGAATTAAGAGCTGCCCTACTAAAAATCAGTTTACAGGGGAGAATTTGTTTCGTTGGTTGCAAGAAAGATTACAGTTGAACAGCTAGAGCTGCACTCTCGCCAAATCTGTCATCATGTCTGCAACCACGAGAGAGCAGGCAAAACAATACTTGTCAGAACACAAAATACCTCAGGTCTGTTAGAATATATGCTTTGTCAAGTTTTAGATTGTTGTAAGGCATTATTTTTATAAAGATTTTCTTGTTTGTGTAGAAACTTTTCAACTTGTAATTTTGTTTATAACAAACTGTCAAATCCTGTTATACTGCTTACCCTAGCATGAATTTAAGTCAATGATACAGCAGGGCTGGCGGAAATGGGTTTTAATGTCCTTTGTTTAATTGATAGCACCGACTGCCCTCTTGACTTCTGGTAGACTGGTAGAGACTAGAGACAAATTGTGGCCAGTTTTATGTCATTGAGATCTGTCTTGCACAATTGTCATACGCAGGGGAAAAGCAATTTTCAGTTAATTACGTACAGTGCCAGCTGAATTAAAAGCAAATTTAAACTGAAAATTTCTACTGGATGAGAAGCTAGTGCGCATGTGTCAAGTACCCTGTAGTTGTATAGATTTTTAACCAGATGCCTGTCAATAGTCTTTGGGTGGTGTCAGATGTTATGTAGAGTTGAGCATAAGCCATCACAATATAAAAATTTTGAAGTTTAGAATTTTTAATTCCTTTCTTTCTTTACATTCATAATCAACTCATCAAAATTATTCAGATTCTCGTGAAGAGCTTATATAGTTTGAAGCAGAATTGCGGAGTTATGTTTAGTTGTACTGCCTTCTCCAGCACACAATATATATTGCACATTGCATCGTGTTCATTTGTGTCGCACCACTCTAATGTAAATCTATCTGTATTCTCCATTTTTATGGGGAGATCTGTATTTTTGTGTTTGCTTCTTTGTATACATGTATATTATTAGTGTATCCTTTTATCTTCAGCTATTTTGATTGGGTTCTTTTAAATTGTGCTCGCACTGTCTACTATCCAAATTGGCCTGAGACTGCTGGTAGGGGGAAAAGAAAAAGAAGCTGAAAATATTTACACTTGCTGCAACAAGACAGCAATGGGGATATGGGATAGGCAGAGCGTTTGGGAGCGATCCGCGACAAGCACCAGGTCTAAACCTAGCTCGCAGAGACATGTATGGGAGAGAGTTGCTTTAGTTTAGTTTAATAAAAATTGTACAGCTCAGACAGCTGCTTGATAGGGGTATGAAGGCAAAAATAATATGTTTATCTTGTACAGACATTCCTTTTTGTACACTAGCAAAACCTGGCAGTAAGCGGTGCTAGCAGTAGGCTATAACTGTAAGTAAAGACAGTATAATGTGGTTTGACTGTACACTAATAGAGGCAAAGTGAAAGTGGGTGATTGACAGGTGTTCCAGAGTGGCGCCTCCTTTCCTATCAAACATGGATTCCTGAGTGGTGACAGATTTTTATAAAGTATTTGGTGGGATGTTGTATCCCTCTCAGCCCAGATTGGCCCTGACAGGCAAGGTTGGAGGCCCGCCTTCTAAATGATTTAAACTGTGTGGATGTGGTGTTTAAAAATATATACTAATGTTCAAAGATTTATTTTTTTTAGTTTTAAAAAAACATGTCGTCAGGTAGATGTCAATTTTCAAAGATTAAACATTCACATTTGATTTCCACTCTCTGTGCCAACATTCATAACTCTACTATTTAAAACTATTTTTAGAAATTGAAAGTTGGATAGAGTAAATGTGAAAGAAAGTATTTGGTTCTGATTTTCAGAAAATGACACAACAGAACAGAAAATGCCTGTAAAAATGGTGCACATGACCCTGTTTTTTTAGTTTTAGATAAGGATGTAAATTATGGATTTGTTCCCTTTGCATGTCTTTGATCCTTCCACTATCATTTGCCTGAATTTTTCTATCAAACTGCAGTGTAGCATTTTGCTATTCTTAAGTTTAGTTTCAAAGAAAGATTATGATGAGCTGGAAAATATTTTTAATTGATATTGATCCAACCAAATTGTCTGAGTGTTTTTCGTAGGGTAGAATTTTTCTCTATGGTCATGTAGGCTATCGTCATTGTTGACACTTTGGCAGTCTGTTGCTACTTCATCATTGCAAAGAATGATGCATTCTATTATTATCTCATCCTTATTAATTAGAAATGTGTTGGCAGAACTCAGTGTAGTTGATGGTGCATCTCTGTCTGTGCTTTTCTATAATTCATCTTTTGTATTTCCCACAGCTTTTTGAATCATTGCTTAGTTCACTAATGATGGAGCGGCCAGAAAACCCTGTGGAGTACATAGAGAAGAAAATGTGTCAGATACGAGAGATTGGGACTGATAATGTCAACTGGGAGACACTTGTGGCCCATTTGCATCCATACAGAGACAATATTCGTCGCCAGTTTATACGTGATGGAAGTATATATGACAAGGAGTTTGCTGTGATGCAAGGAGAGGTAAGTTACGATGGACATAATGTCAATACAGCTCACTTGTTAATATTACAGTAAAAATTAAATGTAGGCCTTGATCTAGGTGTTTTTACAACCCCTTGGACACAATTCAGTTCATTTAGAAGGTGGGCTCCAAAGATGCCTTTTAGAGCTAACCCAGCCAAACAAAAGGACTGAGATATGGATACAATTTCTCCCCACATGGAAATAAAACTAAGATTTTCTGATAGCAATGGTGAATTATCTAACCACCACAGCACAGACACTGGTCTTGTTAAAGTGAAGCAAATGATTCTAGAATATATCAAAAAATGATTTTCCATACGACATTATTTTCTAAAAGGTAAATTACAAATGTGATTAAAAGATACTTTTGTATAACTTCATCCTCAAGTGCCAATCTGAAACAGACATCTGACTCTTTTCTTCTTTCTTTGCTCGCATGCTCTAAAGAACTTATATTATCCTGGTATTTTCCCACCACCTTTCTGTTCAATTTCTCTGAGTAAGTTGTTCATGGTCTGTTTATGCTTATTTTTCATGTGGGAACAAGATGTTCAAAGCCTTTATGTCGGTTTGAGTGACCTTGAAACTGCATTTATCTCTTTCTAATTCAAGAAAATTATTGGCAGTCCTACCCTAGCTTCTTTCAACATACTGCTTCATTTAATTTCTTTTCACCTTGTTTTCACTGTTTGGGTGTGATGTTTGTGTGTGTGTATGTGTGTGTACGGTGTGGAAACATGCATAATCAGTGTTAACTTATGTGCACTCATGTATGTGGAAATATTATTAAGCAGTGCACCAATAGAACATACTGTTGCAACATCAGATTTTATAGAGTACAATTTCACCACCATCTTTACTGAAAAATCTTTATTTGCGCCATATCAAATGTAACTACTTGTCTATCGATTTTCTATGCAGTTTGGTTAAAACCATATTTACAATCCATTGGATCCTTATGTCAAATGTCACTATTTCTTATGCGTAAAAAAATAGACTGGTGGAACAAGGTATACTTGTTATTGTGATTTTGTTGTCCAGTCGTAATTTTAAGTTATGTTTCACCCCTTTCTGTCACTCCTTACCAATTCTGTCTGTTGTCTTGCTTTGCCAGATTGGCACCACATCATAATGCTAACGTTAATATAATGGATGGATGGCGGGTGGTGTGGTATGGTTTGCTCCTGTTTTCTTATCAAACATCTATGGTCCTCATTTCTCCTACTTTTTTTAATGTATGTTACAATTACACCTCTTTATCTTTGGCACCTTATATATGACCTATTTGTGTAGCAAGTGCCACAAAAGTTTTACAAAAACAAACTTAAGGCTTGTGGTACAGGGACATTTGTCTTGTTATTTTCAGTTTGACATCAAATTGAAAGTTGTATTTCACTCTTTTCTCTCACTCCTCATCAATTTTGTATGTTGTCTTTCTTTGCCAGCTTGGCCTGACATCATAATGTTAACATTGAAATTAACATAAACTCAACATAATTTTTGTGTGTTTGCAGATGGAGGAATTCAAGCAGAGAAAGAAAGAGCATTTTGAGTCTATAGCCAATGAAGAGTACACACCAGAACTGTTCCAGCTGACAGAAGCACATTCTTAGCGATGGTTATGGTCAGGAGAGGCCTTCAAAGCTTCGGCACTACGACAACAAGCTCAATGATTAATGTGCGTGCTATGCCAAGAGCGCCAGTTTAATCCATCCACGTTCTTGCCAGGAAGAAATAGTATAGGAATTTACAGGGAGCCGATGGTTTGAAATCTGAGATTCTTAAAGATCCTGAAATGCTGTTTATGGTAGATTGTTTATTGTTTTAGTAGATGGAGCATTTTGTCAGCTTGCTGTTCAGATGTACTTAGCCCGAATAATTTTTTTCTTTTTATTACAGTTCTTAATTTGAAGGTATGTGTTGAAGAAAAATTTGGTTAAAATTCAAATTCTAAATGTTGATAAAGGCAAGAAATGATTCATAATGCTTTTTTTCAATCTCTCATAAAAATTGTTGCTTTCTGGACTTAGAAAATTTGAACAGCTTGTTAACAATTTTTACTCTTGATTCAACAGGAAATGAACACAGAGAAGGAGGACTTTGAACCAAAAAAAAAATGTTTGATCCTTTTTTTTTCTAATTTAGTAGCATTCTACTGTATTATGCTTTCTTAAATCTTGAACGAAAATTCTTGTGGAAATAGCTATGACGTCAGGTCACTTGTTTAGGAGGTATGCATGTTGTTGGTTGTGATAATGAGATTAGATTATACTTGCGGTGTACACTTGAGGATGAACAAAAGAAGTGTCTTCGTCCTACTTTTTTGCCATTCATGTTTATGTATATGAAACAGTACATGTCTATGAAACTGGAGAGTGATGCACATCTATCCAACTAGTCGGGTCAGCATGATTTGGTGGGGGTGAAAAAGTCTGCTGGTGAGTTCTCTCTCTCTCTCTCTCTCTGAGTCAAGTCTGTTGTTACCCTGAGGAGCGAACTCAGTTGATTTTGGGAGATCCCACTACGTTATGCCAAAAAAACAAAAAACCTTCATTTCATAGAAGTCTGGCCAGTATGGTCGTCACCTATATATGCAAATCCTGTAAAACATGGTAGGCTTTGGATAAGCATACTGCCCACTTTGCTTCCACTTTGATTTTTTTTTTTTCATTCTATCAAATGTTGTACATGTATTCAGATTGTGAAGCAGGGTATCAAAACAAAATTATCAAATGAGGTCATTGGTTAGAGACCTTTAATTGAGTGGTTTTTAAGCCCATCTACCTCTATTTTGTTTATTGAGGGTGGCTCAAGAGCAGATGTAACTGCTGACTCCTAATTTCATATGTTTGAAACCCTTGTCTCTTATGCGAGCTACAAACTAACAGAAATGTTGAAGGATCAGCTATAATGATGCCTACATGGCCATGCAAGAAATGTTAAGAAAACCAAGTGGACACTTGTTGATGTTAAGAATGAAATTTTGCAATGACTTAAAATTATGCGATTGAGATCTGAATATTTATGTTGCTATTTAGTAATGAAACAGGAAATAATTGTGATCTTATATTGACTGATTGGAATCATATAACTGTCAATATGGGCCAAGTGTAATTGGTATATTCTCTCTGCAATATCTCAGTGCTTTTGCGACTGGATGAACGATATTATTTTACTATAATAGACTTGTCTTCAAAGCTTTTTTAAAAAGTTTTAATGAGCAATGAGAAGATGGAGCTTATTTTTAGGGAACACATGCAATGTTTATATAGACCAGTAGTCTTAGTATGTGTACATAAATTTGCATGTGTGTGTGTGTGTGTGTATGTGGGTGTGTGCTGTGCTTTGCTATATTTGTGTGCTCATTAAAAAAATATTAATAATATGCATCTAGGTGTGTGCGAATGGGTTTATGTGCACATGAAAGAGAGAAAGAAAGAGATGGAGAGAGGACAAGAGAGCAAGCATGCTTGAATCAGAGACTGAGCTCTCTGCGCAGATGAATGTTTATGCCATTTGTGACGAAAGTTCAGAAAGAGCAACAAAAAAGTTGTTTTGTTTTGCCAAGCTGCCTCATCACCATCCCTGTGTTAGGAGTGCTACTGTCTTGTGCTGGTGGTGAAAGGATTCAAACTCCCAAGTTACCCATCACTTCTAGAAAATTCTTTTTATAAATTTTGTTTAATGCTCTACTTGTAGAAATTTGGTTTACAATGGCAAAACATATATTATTATTTTATACATACATGACAGATATACTTTAAACACGCCATTGCTAGCCGCCTCTGTGTAGTGCCCTGTTTTTTAGTGAGGGTTAATGTGTCTTGTTCAAGGACACATACACCCCAGTGGCCACCCACCATAATGCCGAGTCACTGATTTATGCTTGACATTTATTGTAATCCTGAGCTCACTATTCACTCAGCCACTGGAACCGTAGAGTAAGTGGTGATCTCACAGTAAGTGTTCTCATGATTGTGTGAGTTTTTATTGCCTCTTTTAATGACGACAATGTTATACCTGCATTTATTCTCCAAGGTTCAGTATTTCGAAATCATCACTCAACCTTCACGGTGGAGGAGGGAAGAGGAGTGGTGTGAGCTGTTTTGCCACGTTTTTAAAGCACATCATCTTTTGTTTGGTTTTCTCAATCTGTTGGATTTAGAGATGAGGGATTGGGGAGGGGTGTAGCTCTTCTTTCAGTGTTGGATTTGTTCTGTAGGTGGATGTCTGCAGTTATGAAATTTTAATGATCTCCAACGCCTTGGGAAGGAGGGTATGTGTCTCTTTTTTCTTTGTATGTAGGGCGCTTCCTCAACTCAGTTGGTATCATGCTGGACTATGGAGTGGTTGTCCCTGGTTCGAATCCTAGACATGGAGTTTTTTAACTTTGGTCAATATTGTGGAGTTTTCAAGGCTCATAACACTTTGCGATCACTTGGCGCAATAATGCGTAAATTGTAAATGAAAATGATCTGTTCCAGTCATCTGGCGCAGTGCGCCAGGCCCGAGAAGTCCGTTGCAGTCACTCTCCTGGCTGGGTGACCAGATGGGGATATTTTGTACTGCTGGCTGTGTGACTGCAAAGTGTTAAGCCATTTGGCTTCTTGGTATTATATCAGACATAGATGTTACATTCGAAGGTCCTGCATCTTAAATAAACTAGCAGTGTTGATTGGGGTGTTAAACTCATACCCTCTTGACTTTTTTCTTGTAGATAATGGGGATGGAGGAGAGTGAATACGTTTGAAATTGTTTTCATTTGCTTTCTTTTTGCTTGTGTATTTTGAATGGAAGGAAAAGTTGGAGATTAAGGTTTTTATTTTGAGAGAGTGTGGTTTGATTTGGGGTGGGGCGGGGGATGGGATTTTTGTTTCTATAATATGCACTATCTTCTCTTTTACAAAGCTCTTGGAACAGCAAAGCCAAACTTATCTTTTTTGTTTTGTTTTGTTTTTCATTTAGTAATCCCTGATTTTACCAGTCCCAGTTCTTTATGTATAAAGCAATGGTTGACTTGCTGAGGGGCATACCAAACCGTCCATGGCTTTGATTTTCTCGATATCTCGTTCACTTTAGCACTTTTAGTGACTTTATCTTCTGAGATGATTGGTATAATATCGTGACCCCACTTTGTGCCTGACAAGTCAGGAGTTCTGGAATATAATAAACATTGTTTTACTGCTGATGATTCTTTTTTTGTGACAAAAAATTGTGCTCATACATATTTGCAATGAAAATGTGTAATGTTTTACACTACCATGAAATACAATTTTTCTTTACCATCCCACTGATTTCATTGTAGCATTTGATTTTATGACAGAATGGTGTTTTTAGAACGTTTTAATTTGTGACACTTCTAGTCTCTCTCTCTCTCTCTCTCTCTCTCTCTCTCTCTCTCTCTCTCTCTCTCTCTCTCTCTCTCTCTCTCTCTCTCTCTCTCTCTCTCTCTCTCTCTCTCTCTCTCTCTCTCTCTCTCTCTCTCACTCTCTCTGTCTGTCTGTCTGTCTGTCAGTCTGTCTCTGTCTGCCGGTCTGTCTCTTTCTCTCCCTCTCTCTCTCTCTCTCTGTTTGTCTGTCTGTCTCTCCTGTGTGTATGTCTGTCTGTCTGTCTCACTCAATCTCTCTAGCTCTCTCTCTCTCTCTCTTTCTTTCTCTATCTCTATCTCTCTGCCTCTCTCTCTCTCTCTCTCTCTCTCTCTCTCTCTCTCTCTCTCTCTCTCTCTCTCTCTCTCTCTCTCTCTCTCTCTCTCTGTGGCATCGGTGGCCTAGTGGTTAGGCTCTCGGGCTCGCAACCGTAAGGTCGTGGGTTCGAATCCAGTCAGGGACCCGACGTTGTGTCCTTGGGAAAGGCACTTTGCACAAATTTTCCTCACTTCACCCAGGTGGAAATGGGTACCCAGCTATAGACAGTGAAAGATCTTGTCAGTTTGATAATGTTTGAGCGCGTGAAATCCGCAGCTTGCACTGTATGCTTCCACGGAAGCTGAGAATGTTTCTGAGTGTTCTCAGAGGGTCTGCTGGGGTAATAATAGTTGTAAAGCGCATAGAGCATGCTCTTGAGCATGGATATGCGCTATATAAATGCAATTATTATTATTATTATTATTATTATTCTCCCTCCTTGTCTGCGGATTCTTTCCTATCTAAGATCTATTGTTCTTAACTCTCCTCCAAATTGTACGGTACTCTCTAATAAAACCTCTAATCTTCAGCTCTTATAAGTTATATTATGACTAAATTGCGTTGCAAGTGCTTGGAACATTTTACTTAAACTACTAAAATAAAATTCTCGAACAGCAGTCGTGAGGCACCCTGAACTGCCACGTCGCTGGAGAGACTCGATAACCTGTGAACCAACTCAAGGTGAAGAACACTCTTTCTGGGGATTCGAACCTGGGTCGTCCGCACCACAACCCAAAATGATACTCACTGAGTTATACTCAGTACATAATATTGTCTGTTTGATCCATACGATACAGTTGTAGACATCCAGGTTCCCATTTCTGGAAGGGCAAAAGCCACAACTTTGCCACAGTTCGACTGAATTCTACATCATAAATTGAAAGTGGCACGTACACACAAGATACTCAAGAACGGGAAAGGAGAACGAGACATGAAATTATAGCTTTAATGTTCATACATTATTTTTATTCTAAAAAGTTCAAATGTTGGCACTAGAACTTAAGTTTATGAACAACAGGCATGTAACAAAAACATGTTTCACCGGTCGAACGCAGCAGCTCATCGTAGTGGATGGTTTCATTTAAGGTTTCATACAACTAAATTTTGGAGAGAAAAAAACAACAACAAAGATTTTTAAAAGTTCGAAGGTAAGGATGTGAATCTTATTTTCAGACTTTAAAATAAACTAAAATAGCTTCGAGACAACGAGTCAGTTCAGCAGGTCTTCAAGTCAACTTTTTAAAGCTACTAGATCTATGTATTATATACTAGCTGCTAGTCTTTTTTATTAACATTTTAAAAAACTGTTGGATGATAGATTGGAAGTGAAAGAGAACGTGCTAGCGAGCTAGAGGAGAGGGAGAGAGAGAGAGAGAGAGAATAGAGACAAGGGAGGGGGGGGGCAGATAGAGAAGGCGTAAGACGAGCAGAGAGCGACGAAAAAGAAGTATCCACGGAACTGTCTCGAGATAGCGCAATGGCATAGAGGTTGCGCTATGTACTAAGGGACGCAACCAATGAAAATGTATTTGTGATGTGCCCTTGATGCGTATTTTCTTTGTTGCTTCCCTTTTGACTAACACGCCTCTCGTCGACGAAATTTTGTCCGAAAGCTGAAAAAAGTGTCGGACTGGGTACAAAAAAGTGGCTGAGAAACACCCTCTGAAATGTGTCATAATTGTTGTATTTTTCATTTTTCTTCTTTTTTTAAAAAGTGTTTCACGGCGCTCACAGCTGTATAATGTCATATGAGCGCGCGGGACACTAAAAACATTTTCAGTTGGTAGGAATTTTTTTATTTTGCCCATGTGGCGGCCGAAGCCTACTCTTATCGACTTTGGACCACCAAGGGATGTTTAACGTGCGCAACTTGCTCACGGGGCCTCCGAGATTTTTTGCCGTTGTCCGAGAAGGCTAGGTTTAGATCTTTCCTACCAGAACATCAGGGGTGTGGCTGGAAGACAGCACAAAGAAGGAGACAAGGAGTAGCAGTAGAAAGGTTGCAGAAAGAGTCAGGAGCCCAGAGGAGGGGGAAAAG